CGCCTTTGGCTTTGGCGGTAAGTAGGTCGTTGGTGATTTTGAGGAGGGCGGTTTCGGTGGAGTGTAGGGGACGGAAGCCGGACTGTAGTGGATCAAGGAGGTTGTTGTCAGTTAGGTGGGCGCTTAGGCGGTTGTAGACTAAGCGCTCCAGGAGTTTGGAAGTGTGAGTGGCAGCAGGGAGATGGGTCTGAGGTTGTTTGGGTCAGAGGGGTCCAGGGCGGGCTTTTTGAGTATGGGGGTGATGTGCGCATGCTTTAGGGGGAGGGGAATACGCCAGTAGAGAGGGAGAGATTGAAGATGTGGGTGAGGGAGCAGATGAGGGAAGAGGGGGGTGACTGGAGGAGTCGTCGAGAGGGGATAGGGTCTAGGGGGCAGGTAGTGAGGCGGGCTTCAGAGAAGACCCTGGTGACTTCCTCAGTGGTAGCGGGGCTGAAGGAGTGCAGAGCTGGTGGGGTTACGGTAAGCGGGGTCTTGGGTGTGGGGGGGGGCAGTGCGGTTGCGAGGTCAGAGGAGGGAAGAGATGAGGGGGAGATAGGGGGGGGGGGAGGCTAGGTGGGGAGGTAGATTGCGAGTTGACTATGTCCTGACGGATAGCATCAATTTTATTGTGGAAATGAGTGGCAATCTCGTGGGGGGTGTGAGTGAGGTACTGAGTGGAGGAGGGGGGGGGGGAGAGAGCAGGGAGTTGAAGGTGGAGAAGAGTCGGCGAGGGCAGGAGGAGAGGGGTGTTAATCAGGTTTACGAAGTAAGCCTGCTTGGCGGCGTGGAGGGAGGAGGTGTAAGTGAGGAAGGCAGATTTGTAGAGGGAGAATGAACGGGGGGACCTGGTTTTGCGCCATAGTCTCTCCAGCGCACGACTGCGACGTTTGAGGCATTTTCCGAAGTGGAATTCGAGTCGAATATCGGAAAAATTTTCGATTCGTGCCGAATCCGAAAAATAGCCTAATTCGGACGCGCGAATCGAAATTTTTCAGAAAATGGCGGCTGACATGTGCGGCGACGGAGCGGGGATGTCTGGGAAGGCGCGCAGACAAGGCGCGCTGACCCATAATGCATTCCTCAACTACATGTGATCGCATCAGCCAATCAGCAGCCAGCCAGCCAGCACTGTGTAATGGTCGAGCTATAAATAGCGGCCATTTTGGAATTCTTCATTTGCCTGCAGTTATTGAACAGAGGCAGACCGCTCTGTACTAGGGACAGGGACAGAGTTAGGGCCACAGAAACGATAATTGGGGACAGAGAAAAGTTACTTAGGGACAGAGAACCATTACTCAGGGACACAGACTTGTTAATGAGGGCCACAGAATCGTTATTTAGGGACAAAGAAACGCTAGTTAGGGCCACAGAATTCATAATCAGGGACAGACAGAATTGTTACTCAGTGCCAGAGAATTGTTACTTAGGGCCACAGAAACGTTATTAGGGCCACAGAATTTTTACTCAGGGACAGACAGAATTGTTACTGAGTGCCAGAGAATTGTTACTCAGGGACAGACAGAATTGTTACTGAGTGCCAGAGAATTGTTACTTAGGGCCACAGAAACTTTAATTAGGGCCACAGAATTTTTACTCAGGGACAGACAGAATTGTTACTGAGTGCCAGAGAATTGTTACTCAGGGACAGACAGAATTGTTACTGAGTGCCAGAGAATTGTTACTTAGGGCCACAGAAAACTTTACTTAGGGCCACAGAATTTTTACTCAGGGACAGACAGAATTGTTACTGAGTGCCAGAGAATTGTTACTCAGGGACAGACAGAATTGTTACTGAGTGCCAGAGAATTGTTACTCAGGGCCCCAGAAACTTTACTTAGGGCCACAAAATTTTTACTCAGGGACAGACAGAATTGTTACTGAGTGCCAGAGAATTGTTACTCAGGGACAGACAGAATTGTTACTGAGTGCCAGAGAATTGTTACTTAGGGCCACAGAAACTTTACTTAGGGCCACAGAATTGTTACTCGCACAGACACAGAATTGTTACTCGCACAGACACAGAATTGTTACTGAAGGCCACAGAACTGTTACTTAGGGCCACAGAATTGTTACTCGCACAGACACAGAATTGTTACTCGCACAGACACAGAACTGTTACTGAGGGCCACAGAACTGTTACTTAGGGCCACAGAATTGTTACTCGCACAGACACAGAATTGTTACTCAGGGCCACAGAACTGTTACTTAGGGACAAAGAAACTAGTTAGGGCCACAGAATTCATACTCAGGGACAGACAGAATTGTTACGGAGTGCCAGAGAATTGTTACTCTGGGCCACAGAAACTTTACTTAGGGCCACAGAATTTTTACTCAGGGACAGACAGAATTGTTACTGAGTGCCAGAGAATTGTTACTCAGGGACAGACAGAATTGTTACGGAGTGCCAGAGAATTGTTACTCAGGGCCACAGAAACTTTACTTAGGGCCACAGAATTTTTACTCAGGGACAGACAGAATTGTTACTGAGTGCCAGAGAATTGTTACTCAGGGACAGACAGAATTGTTACGGAGTGCCAGAGAATTGTTACTTAGGGCCACAGAAACTTTACTTAGGGCCACAGAATTGTTTACTCGCACAGACACAGAATTGTTACTCGCACAGACACAGAACTGTTACTGAGGGCCACAGAAACTTTACTTAGGGACAAAGAAACGCTAGTTAGGGCCACGGAATTCATACTCAGGGACAGACAGAATTGTTACGGAGTGCCAGAGAATTGTTACTCAGGGCCACAGAAACTTTACTTAGGGCCACAGAATTTTTACTCAGGGACAGACAGAATTGTTACTAGGCCAAGAGTTAGGGCCAGAGAATTGTTACTCAGGAATTGTTACTCAGGTGACAGACAGAATTGTTACGGAGTGCCAGAGAATTGTTACTCAGGGCCACAGAAACTTTACTTAGGGCCACAGAATTTTTACTCAGGGACAGACAGAATTGTTTACTGAGTGCCAGAATTGTTACTGCCAGAGGTTACTCAGGGACAGAATTGTTAGAGTGCCAGAGAATTGTTACTCAGGGACAGACAGAATTGTTACTGCCAGAGAAGTGCCAGAGAATTGTTACTCAGGGACAGACAGAATTGTTACTGAGTGCCAGAGAATTGTTACTCAGGGACAGACAGAATTGTTATTAGGGCCACAGAATTTTACTCAGGGACAGACAGAACTCACTGAGGCCAGAATTGTTACAGACAGACAGAATTGTTACTGAGTGCCAGAGAATTGTTACTCAGGGACAGACAGAATTGTTAGGGAGTGCCAGAGAATTGTTACTCAGGGCCACAGAATTGTTACTTGAGGGCCAGAGAATTTTTACTCAGGGACAGACAGAATTGTTACTGAGTGCCAGAGAATTTTTACTCAGGGACAGACAGAATTGTTACTGAGTGCCAGAGAATTGTTACTCAGGGCACAGAAATTTACTTAGGGCCACAGAATTTTTACTCAGGGACAGACAGAAATTGTTACTGAGTGCCAGAGAATTGTTACTCAGGGACAGACAGAATTGTTACTGAGTGCCAGAGAATTGTTACTCAGGGCCACAGAATTGTTACTGAGGGCCACAGAATTGTTACTTAGGGCCACAGAATTGTTACTCGCACAGAGGGCCACAGAATTGTTACTCGCACAGACACAGAATTGTTACTGAGGGCCACAGAACTGTTACTTGGGGCCACAGAAACTGTTACTTGGGGCCACAGAATTGTTATCAGGGACACAGAATTGTTACTGAGGGCCACAGAACTGTTACTTAGGGCCACAGAATTGTTACTCGCACAGACACAGAATTGTTACTCAGGGACACAGAATTGTTACTCAGGGACACATAATCGTTTAATTAAAGAGTATGTCAGACAACATGCAGAGGAGTGGCAGAGGAGGCAATGTTTTAGGAGCGAGCAGACGTGGCAGCAGAGGAAGGGGTCGAGGCAGCACTATTCGCAGCCAGAGGCCAGTGCTCCCGGTGTCATCCAGCGGTCGTGTCTCCACCGACAACCCTGCCGTCGTCGATTGGTTGGCTCGGTCGTCTTCCTCTTCCCAGGTCACCTCTGACACCTACAGCCAACGGTCGGTGGGTACGTCAGACACAACCGTTAGTTGGCATGGCCCGGGACCAAGCCCACTGAAATCACGTGTCCTCTACCTGCCCCTGTCCTTTGGTGTTCCCTCACCAAGCGAAGTATCGCATGCTGTGGGCTCAGCCCCACTGTACAGTGAGGAAGAGCTAACAGAGGGCGGTCAGGAACGGGGGGAGACATCCGCCTTTTCAGCAGCTAGGCGAAGAAGTAGTGGCGAGGAGAGTGGCCCGGTAGCCGGTCTAGAGACAGGTCTGTCTCCTGACCCAGACGCAGCCGAGGGGGCTAGTAGTGAGGCGGAGACCCTACTTGATGATGAGGAGGTTGATCGCACTTGGCAGCCTCGTCGTCATCAGGCAATTTCTTCCGCATCATCAGGAGAAGAGGGTGGCAGCTTGGCAGTGAGCGAAACAGTCGGTGGGTTGCCCAGGAGACAGCAGCAGGGTCGCAGCAGTGTCAGTGGAAGCAGTGTCAGTGGAGCCAAACGGCCACGGAGTAGAGCACCAGCTCCACTGCAGCCTACCACCACGGCCAGTAGTGGTGCCGGTGTGCACGGACGGAGGAAGCAGCAGTCAGCCAGCCAGTGAGGAGTATCGGGGGCAAAGTTTCCTACTCGGCGGTGTGTGGCAATTTTTCGTCAAGCCGCCCGAGGAAGTAAACGTAGCCGTATGTCGACTATGTGGCCAGAAAGTCAAGCGTGGCCAGGGGGCCCATGTTGGGACTATTTGGGCCATGTTGGGACAATGGGAGACCTCCCATTGCTGCTGTCTCCATCGCCACACTCTGCCATGTGCCACTTTCAGGTCTCCTCACACACTGCTGGTGTGTAGAATTTTTTGACATAGGGTGCTGGCAGATTACGGGCCTCCCATAGCTGCTGCCAGGCCCCTAATCTGCCATAGGCCCCTATATACCGCCTCCTCATGCTGCTGCCAGGTCCAGAGTCTGTCATGGGTCCCTGTACGGCCTCCCATTGCTGCTGTCTCCATCGCCACACTCTGCCATGTGCCACTTTCAGGTCTCCTCACACACTGCTGGTGTGTAGAATTTTTTGACATAGGGTGCTGGCAGATTACGGGCCTCCCATAGCTGCTGCCAGGCCCCTAATCTGCCATGGGCCCCTATATACCGCCTCCTCATGCTGCTGCCAGGTCCAGTCTGTCTGTCATGGGTCCCTGTACGGCCTCCCATTGCTGCTGTCTCCATCGCCACACTCTGCCATGTGCCACTTTCAGGTCTCCTCACACACTGCTGGTGTGTGTAGAATTTTTTTGACATAGGGTGCTGGCAGATTACGGGCCTCCCATAGCTGCTGCCAGGCCCCTAATCTGCCATAGGCCCCTATATACCGCTCCTCTCATGCTGCTGCCAGGTCCAGAGTCTGTCATGGGTCCCTGTACGGCCTCCCATTGCTGCTGTCTCCATCGCCACACTCTGCCATGTGCCACTTTCAGGTCTCCTCACACACTGCTGGTGTGTAGAATTTTTTGACATAGGGTGCTGGCAGATTACGGGCCTCCCATAGCTGCTGCCAGGCCCCTAATCTGCCATAGGCCCCTATATACCGCCTCCTCATGCTGCTGCCAGGTCCAGAGTCTGTCATGGGTCCCTGTACGGCCTCCCATTGCTGCTGTCTCCATCGCCACACTCTGCCATGTGCCACTTTCAGGTCTCCTCACACACTGCTGTGTGTGTAGAATTTTTTGACATAGGGTGCTGGCAGATTACGGGCCTCCCATAGCTGCTGCCAGGCCCCTAATCTGCCATAGGCCCCTATATACCGCTCCTCATGCTGCTGCCAGGTCCAGAGTCTGTCATGGGTCCCTGTACGGCCTCCCATTGCTGCTGTCTCCATCGCCACACTCTGCCATGTGCCACTTTCAGGTCTCCTCACACACTGCTGTGTGTGTAGAATTTTTTGACATAGGGTGCTGGCAGATTACGGGCCTCCCATAGCTGCTGCCAGCCCCTAATCTGCCATAGGCCCCTATATACCGCCTCCTCATGCTGCTGCCAGGTCCAGAGTCTGTCATGGGTCCCTGTACGGCCTCCCATTGCTGCTGTCTCCATCGCCACACTCTGCCATGTGCCACTTTCAGGTCTCCTCACACACTGCTGGTGTGTAGAATTTTTTGACATAGGGTGCTGGCAGATTATGGGCCTCCCATATAGCTGCTGCCAGGCCCCTAATCTGCCATAGGCCCCTATATACCGCCTCCTCATGCTGCTGCTGCCAGGTCCAGAGTCTGTCATGGGTCCCTGTACGGCCTCCCATTGCTGCTGTCTCCATCGCCACACTCTGCCATGTGCCACTTTCAGGTCTCCTCACACACTGGCTGGTGTGTAGAATTTTTTTGACATAGGGTGCTGGCAGATTACGGGCCTCCCATAGCTGCTGCCAGGCCCCTAATCTGCCATAGGCCCCTATATACCGCCTCCTCATGCTGCTGCCAGGTCCAGAGTCTCTGTCATGGGTCCCTGTACGGCCTCCCATTGCTGCTGTCTCCATCGCCACACTCTGCCATGTGCCACTTTCAGGTCTCCTCACACACTGCTGGTGTGTAGAATTTTTTGACATAGGGTGCTGGCAGATTATGGGCCTCCCATAGCTGCTGCCAGGCCCCTAATCTGCCATAGGCCCCTATATACCGCCTCCTCATGCTGCTGCCAGGTCCAGAGTCTGTCATGGGTCCCTGTACGGCCTCCCATTGCTGCTGTCTCCATCGCCACACTCTGCCATGTGCCACTTTCAGGTCTCCTCACACACTGCTGGTGTGTAGTAGAATTTTTTGACATAGGGTGCTGGCAGATTATGGGCCTCCCATAGCTGCTGCCAGGCCCCTAATCTGCCATAGGCCCCTATATACCGCCTCCTCATGCTGCTGCCAGGTCCAGAGTCTGTCATGGGTCCCTGTACGGCCTCCCATTGCTGCTGTCTCCATCGCCACACTCTGCCATGTGCCACTTTCAGGTCTCCTCACACACTGCTGGTGTGTAGAATTTTTTGACATAGGGTGCTGGCAGATTTACGGGCCTCCCATAGCTGCTGCCAGGCCCCTAATCTGCCATGGGCCCCTATATACCGCCTCCTCATGCTGCTGCCAGGTCCAGAGTCTGTCATGGGTCCCTGTACGGCCTCCCATTGCTGCTGTCTCCATCGCCACACTCTGCCATGTGCCACTTTCAGGTCTCCTCACACTGCTGGTGTGTAGAATTTTTTGACATAGGGTGCTGGCAGATTACGGGCCTCCCATAGCTGCTGCCAGGCCCCTAATCTGCCATAGGCCCCTATATACCGCCTCCTCATGCTGCTGCCAGGTCCAGAGTCTGTCATGGGTCCCTGTACGGCCTCCCATTGCTGCTGTCTCCATCGCCACACTCTGCCATGTGCCACTTTCAGGTCTCCTCACACACTGCTGGTGTGTAGAATTTTTTGACATAGGGTGCTGGCAGATTACGGGCCTCCCATAGCTGCTGCCAGGCCCCTAATCTGCCATGGGCCCCTATATACCGCCTCCTCATGCTGCTGCCAGGTCCAGAGTCTGTCATGGGTCCCTGTACGGCCTCCCATTGCTGCTGTCTCCATCGCCACACTCTGCCATGTGCCACTTTCAGGTCTCCTCACACACTGCTGGTGTGTAGAATTTTTTGACATAGGGTGCTGGCAGATTATGGGCCTCCCATAGCTGCTGCCAGGCCCCTAATCTGCCATGGGCCCCTATATACCGCCTCCTCATGCTGCTGCCAGGTCCAGAGTCTGTCATGGGTCCCTGTACGGCCTCCCATTGCTGCTGTCTCCATCGCCACACTCTGCCATGTGCCACTTTCAGGTCTCCTCACACACTGCTGGTGTGTAGAAATTTTTTGACATAGGGTGCTGGCAGATTACGGGCCTCCCATAGCTGCTGCCAGGCCCCTAATCTGCCATAGGCCCCTATATACCGCCTCCTCATGCTGCTGCCAGGTCCAGAGTCTGTCATGGGTCCCTGTACGGCCTCCCATTGCTGCTGTCTCCATCGCCACACTCTGCCATGTGCCACTTTCAGGTCTCCTCACACACTGCTGGTGTGTAGAATTTTTTGACATAGGGTGCTGGCAGATTACGGGCCTCCCATAGCTGCTGCCAGGCCCCTAATCTGCCATAGGCCCCTATATACCGCCTCCTCATGCTGCTGCCAGTCCAGAGTCTGTCATGGGTCCCTGTACGGCCTCCCATTGCTGCTGTCTCCATCGCCACACTCTGCCATGTGCCACTTTCAGGTCTCCTCACACACTGCTGGTGTGTAGAATTTTTTGACATAGGGTGCTGGCAGATTACGGGCCTCCCATAGCTGCTGCCAGGCCCCTAATCTGCCATAGGCCCCTATATACCGCCTCCTCATGCTGCTGCCAGGTCCAGAGTCTGTCATGGGTCCCTGTACGGCCTCCCATTGCTGCTGTCTCCATCGCCACACTCTGCCATGTGCCACTTTCAGGTCTCCTCACACTGCTGGTGTGTGTAGAATTTTTTGACATAGGGTGCTGGCAGATTATGGGCCTCCCATAGCTGCTGCCAGGCCCCTAATCTGCCATAGGCCCCTATATACCGCCTCCTCATGCTGCTGCCAGGTCCAGAGTCTGTCATGGGTCCCTGTACGGCCTCCCATTGCTGCTGTCTCCATCGCCCACACTCTGCCATGTGCCACTTTCAGGTCTCCTCACACACTGCTGGTGTGTAGAATTTTTTGACATAGGGTGCTGGCAGATTACGGGCCTCCCATAGCTGCTGCCAGGCCCCTAATCTGCCATGGGCCCCTATATACCGCCTCCTCATGCTGCTGCCAGGTCCAGAGTCTCTCATGGGTCCCTGTACGGCCTCCCATTGCTGCTGTCTCCATCGCCACACTCTGCCATGTGCCACTTTCAGGTCTCCTTTGACATAGGGTGCTGGCAGATTATGGGGCCTCCCATAGCTGCTGCCAGGCCCCTAATCTGCCATAGGCCCCTATATACCGCCTCCTCATGCTGCTGCCAGGTCCAGAGTCTCTCATGGGTCCCTGTACGGCCTCCCATTGCTGCTGTCTCCATCGCCACACTCTGCCATGTGCCACTTTCAGGTCTCCTCACACACTGCTGGTGTGTAGAATTTTTTGACATAGGGTGCTGGCAGATTACGGGCCTCCCATAGCTGCTGCCAGGCCCCTAATCTGCCATAGGCCCCTATATACCGCCTCCTCATGCTGCTGCCAGGTCCAGAGTCTGTCATGGGTCCCTGTACGGCCTCCCATTTGCTGCTGTCTCCATCGCCACACTCTGCCATGTGCCACTTTCAGGTCTCCTCACACACTGCTGGTGTGTAGAATTTTTTGACATAGGGTGCTGGCAGATTATGGGCCTCCCATAGCTGCTGCCAGGCCCCTAATCTGCCATGGGCCCCTATATACCGCCTCCTCATGCTGCTGCCAGGTCCAGAGTCTCTGCCATGGGGTCCCATTGCTGCTGTCTCTCACTCTGCCATGTGCCACTTTCAGGTCTCCTCACACACTGCTGGTGTGTTGTAGAATTTTTTGACATAGGGTGCTGGCAGATTATGGGCCTCCCATAGCTGCTGCCAGGCCCCTAATCTGCCATGGGCCCCTATATACCGCCTCCTCATGCTGCTGCCAGGTCCAGAGTCTGTCATGGGTCCCTGTACGGCCTCCATTGCTGCTGTCTCCATCGCCACACTCTGCCATGTGCCACTTTCAGGTCTCCTCACACACTGCTGCTGGTGTGTAGAAATTTTTTGACATAGGGTGCTGGCAGATTATGGGCCTCCCATAGCTGCTGCCAGGCCCCTAATCTGCCATGGGCCCCTATATACCGCCTCCTCATGCATGCTGCTGTCCAGAGTCTCTCACAGCTGTCTCATGCCCATGTGCCACTTTCAGGTCTCCTCACACACTGCTGGTGTGTTGAATTTTTTGACATAGGGTGCTGGCAGATTATGGGCCTCCATAGCTGCTGCCAGGCCCCTAATCTGCCATGGGCCCCTATATATACCGCTTCCTCATGCTGCTGCCAGGTCCAGAGTCTGTCATGGGTCCCTGTACGGCCTCCCATTGCTGCTGTCTCCATCGCCACACTCTGCCATGTGCCACTTTCAGGTCTCCTCACACTGCTGGTGTGTTGAATTTTTTGACATAGGGTGCTGGCAGATTACGGGCCTCCCATAGCTGCTGCCAGGCCCCTAATCTGCCATAGGCCCCTATATACCGCCTCCTCATGCTGCTGCCAGGTCCAGAGTCTGTCATGGGTCCCTGTACGGCCTCCCATTGCTGCTGTCTCCATCGCCACACTCTGCCATGTGCCACTTTCAGGTCTCCTCACACACTGCTGGTGTGTTAGAATTTTTTGACATAGGGTGCTGGCAGATTACGGGCCTCCCATAGCTGCTGCCAGGCCCCTAATCTGCCATAGGCCCCTATATACCGCCTCCTCATGCTGCTGCCAGGTCCAGAGTCTGTCATGGGTCCCTGTACGGCCTCCCATTGCTGCTGTCTCCATCGCCACACTCTGCCATGTGCCACTTTCAGGTCTCCTCACACACTGCTGGTGTGTAGAATTTTTTGACATAGGGTGCTGGCAGATTATGGGCCTCCCATAGCTGCTGCCAGGCCCCTAATCTGCCATAGGCCCCTATATATACCGCCTCCTCATGCTGCTGCCAGGTCCAGAGTCTGTCATGGGTCCCTGTACGGCCTCCCATTGCTGCTGTCTCCATCGCCACACTCTGCCATGTGCCACTTTCAGGTCTCCTCACACACTGCTGGTGTGTAGAATTTTTTGACATAGGGTGCTGGCAGATTACGGGCCTCCCATAGCTGCTGCCAGGCCCCTAATCTGCCATAGGCCCCTATATACCGCCTCCTCATGCTGCTGCCAGGTCCAGAGTTCTGTCATGGGTCCCTGTACGGCCTCCCATTGCTGCTGTCTCCATCGCCACACACTCTGCCATGTGCCACTTTCAGGTCTCCTCACACACTGCTGGTGTGTAGAATTTTTTGACATAGGGTGCTGGCAGATTACGGGCCTCCCATTGCTGCTGCCAGGCCCCTAATCTGCCATGGGCCCCTATACCGCCTCCTCATGCTGCTGCTGCCAAGTCCAGAGTGTGTCATGGGTCCCTGTACGGCCTCCCATTGCTGCTGTCTCCATAGCCACACTCTGCCATGTGCCACTTTCAGGTCTCCTCACACTGCTGGTGTGTTGAATTTTTTGACATAGGGTGCTGGCAGATTACGGGCCTCCCATTGCTGCTGCCAGGCACGTAATCTGCCATGGGCCCCCGTACCGACTCCTCATGCTGTGACGTTGCAACAAGGTGGAATTCAACCCTACATATGTTAGACCGCCTTTACGAACAGCGAAAGGCCATCACCGATTTCCTGATGTTAAAAGCGGATAAAGGTACTCCCTGTGTAACTTAGATGTCAGCCATTGGCAGCTCATGCGTGACACCTGCGCTTGCTCAGGCCCTTTGAGGAGGCCACGCTATTCGTGAGTCGGCAGGACTATGGGATGAACGACGTCATTCCTCTGTTGCACGTCCTGGAACAAATGCTGTTAACAATGGCTGGTCAGGGTGCGGTAGACGTGGCGCACAGATCTCAACGCCACATGACCCCTGTGGGGGCAGGACAGGAAGAAGAGGAGGAGGTAGAGGAGGACATTGGTGCTCAGGAATTATTGAGTGAAATGGGTGGTTTTTCCACTCAGCGGACAGGAGTGGAGGAGCAGGAGCATCTGGTAGAGGAGGAGGAGGAGGAGGAGACAGAGGACCCAGACGCACCGTGGCAGTATGCTGTGGAGATGGAGGCAGGGAGTCCCTCGCATTCCTTGGCACAAATGGCCCATAGCATGCTCGGTTGCTTGCGTAGCGACAGCCGAATAATAACCATCAGACAGAGGGATGACTTTTGGCTGTCCACCTTGTTGGACCCTCGCTACCGTTCAAAAATGGTGGCCTTTTTCACACCTGCTGAGAGGGAGGCCAAAATAACGTACTATAAAAACCACCTATGTAGTCAGCTGGTCTCTGCCTGTCTGCGCCAACGTCCATCCTCAGACACTGTGGGCCCTGTGCGCTCGCGTTCCGCTGCCATGGCAGCAGGGGAGGGGTGGGGTGGTAGGAGCAGTGGCAGCTCCACCAGCAGCGGCTGCCTCAGTCTGCAGTCGATGATGAGTAGCTTTCTTCACCAGCGCAGTGAGGGAAACTACTAACCAGCCGCAGCAGCAGCAGCAGCAGCAGCATCAGGTGGACCTGGAGCAGGACCTCAAACAACAGGCTTAGGCCTACTTGGACAGCACCCTGCCAACCGAGGTAGACAATCCCTTGACTTGGGCAACGAAACTTGACCTTTGGCCCCAACTAGCTGAATTTGCCCTTGAAAGGCTGTCATGCCCGGCCAGTAGCGTGGCGGATCGGAGCGCGTGTTTAGTGCGGCAGGAGGTATTGCAACTCCGCGGAGGACACGACTGTCCACCCAAAGTGTGGAGAGACTGACGTTTGTGAAAATGAATCAGGCGTGGATTAGTCTGGATTTCAAACCACCAGTTCCTGACACAACTGACTAAATCCGCCATGAATCATGCCCCAAACATGTGCCACTTTCAGGTCTCCTCACACTGCTGGTGTGTTCCATTTTTTGTCATAGGGTGCTGGCAGATTACGGGCCTCCCATAGCTGCTGCCCAGGCCCTAATCTGCCATGGGCCCCTATACCGCCTCCTCATGCTGCTGCCAAGTCCAGAGTCTCTCATGGGTCCCTGTACGGCCTCCCATTGCTGCTGTCTCCATCGCCACACTCTGCCATGTGCCACTTTCAGGTCTCACACACTGCTGGTGTGTAGAATTTTTTGACATAGGGTGCTGGCAGATTACGGGCCTCCCATAGCTGCTGCCAGGCCCCTAATCTGCCATAGGCCCCTATATACCACCCTCCTCATGCTGCTGCCAGGTCCAGAGTGTGTCATGGGTCCCTGTACGGCCTCCCATTGCTGCTGTCTCCATCGCCACACTCTGCCATGTGCCACTTTCAGGTCTCCTCACACTGCTGGTGGGTTCCATTTTTTGTCATAGGGTGCTGGCAGATTACGGGCCTCCCATAGCTGCTGCCAGGCCCCTAATCTGCCATGGGCCCCTGTTGTCGCTTGTTGGCATATTCCGCTCGTTCAGATGCTCCTTCTCCTGCTACTCCTCTTCACGGATTCCGTCAGCAGTCTTTCTTGGAATCCGTTTCCAAGAGACAACAGTTTGCGAGCACGCACCAGACGGTGCAGAAACTGAACGTCCTCCTGTCCAAGTTGCTGCTGCCAGGCTCGTAATCTGTCATGCGCCCCTGTACCGCCTCCTCATGCTGCTGCCAGGTCCAGAGTGTGTCATGGGCCCCCGTACCGACTCCAAATGCTGCTGCCAGGCCCGTAATCTGTCATGGGGCCCCTGTACCGCCTCCCCATGCTGCTGCCACGTCCAGATTGTGTCATGGGTCCCTGTACGGCCTCCCATTGCTGCTGCCAGGGCCTGTAATCTGCCATGGGCCCCCGTACCGACTCCTCATGCTGCTGCCAGGCCCGTAATCTGCCATGGGCCCCTGTACCGCCTCCTCATGCTGCTGCCAGGTCCAGAGTGTGTCATGGGTCCCTGTACGGCCTCCCATTGCTGCTGTCTCTATCGCCACACTCTGCCATGTGCCACTTTCAGGTCTCCTCACACTGCTGGTGGTTTCCATTTTTGTCATAGGGTGCTGTATGGCCTCCCATTGCTGCTGCCTCCACCGCCACACTGTGGCTCCACACTTTGGCCCCGTGACTGCCCAAATGAGTGAAGTGTGCGGTGATTCTAAGATCGACGGCACTCATCTGCATGTCATACTGCCTGACGTATTATTTCTCTTCCCCAGCAGACTCCAAGGGCATTTAAATTAAAGGTACAGTGTTCAGCACTAATATATTAAGTCTCTCTGAAGCCTAGAAACACCCTTTTTTAAGTTAAATTCACAGCGAATATATTCGACTCGAATCGAAATTTTTCTACGAATTCGCTGAATCAGTCGAATCGAATTTTTGAATACTTCGCTCATCTCTATTCCTCACCTTTGTTTTTCTTGCAATGTCATGTAAACCTGAAAATTCTTAAAAAAAAATTAAGCGAAAAAAAAAAAATATAGTTTTGGAGGTGGGGGGGGGGGGGGGGGTTTTTAAAAAATCTAAACATGAAAACCTCCAGATTTTTTGAGTAAATTGTGTCTGTTTACAGATTTGCGTACCTTCACCATTCACAAAAGGCGCAATTTAAAACAGAAATGTTTGGCATTTATTAATACGATGCAGTTTAGCTTTATTATTTAGTAGGAATTTAGCAGGAATTTTGTAATTTTTGCTGCATTTGTGATCGCGAATAAGGATTTTTGTGTGTCTATTTACAGATTTGAGCACCTTTACCATTCACAATAGGCACAATCCAAAACAGAAATGTTTGGCATTTATTAATTCGATGCAGTTTAGCATTTTTATTTAGTAGGAATTTAGCAGGAATTTTGTACTTTTTGCTGCATTTGTGATCGCGAATAAGGATTTTTGTGTATTTTGGACTACAATATTGTTTAATAAAAAATTGCGCAAATATTATGAGGCCTGAAAAATTAGTAGCACCTTTTTTTTATCCTACTGGTCCTATGATTTCAGAAAATGTATGGTTTGGGGGGTCTTTAACAAACTCTGAAACATGTAAGGGACAAATTTAAAAAAAATTGAAAAATTGCAAAAATTGTCTGGCCACCATTTAAAAATGGAGCGCATCGGACTGGCAGCAAAAGGGTTAAAGTGTAAGTAAAAACAAAACTTTTTCATTTTGGATAGAGTAAATGGGGGTGCGGTAGACCTTTTTTATTCCCATCTGTGTCCCTTTGGGTAGATTTGCCTTCTATTAGTGTTTGGTATTTATTAACGCAATGCAGTTCAGCTTTTTTATTTAGTAGGAATTTAGCAGGAATTTTGTACTTTTTGCTGCATTTGTGATCGCGAATAAGGATTTTTTTGTGTATTTTGGACTATAATATTGTTTAATAAAAAAATTGTGCAAATATCATGAGGCCTGAAAAATAAGTAGCACCTTTGTTTTATCCTACTTGGTCCTATGCTTTCAGAAAATGTATGGTTTGGGGGATCTTTAACAAACTCTGAAACATGTAAAGGACAAATTTAAAAAAAATGGAAAAAAATTGCAAAACTTGTCTGGCCACCATTTAAAAATGGAGCGCATCGGACTGGCAGCGAAAGGGTTTAAAGTGTAAGTCAAAACAAAACTTTTTCATTTTGAATAGAGTAAATGAGGGGGGGTAGAACTTTTTTTTCCCCATCTGTATCCCTTTGGGTACATTTGCCTACTATTAGTGTTTGGCATTTATTAAGTGATGCAGTTTAGCTTTTTTATTTGTTAGGAATTTAGCAGGAATTTTGTAAGTTTTGCTGCATTTGTGATCGCGGATAAGGATTTTTGTGTCTTTTGGGCGAAAATATTGTTTGATAAACAATTGAGCAAATATCACGGGGCCTGAAAAGTCAGTAGCACCTTCTTTTTATCCTACTGGTCCTATGCTTTCAGAAAATGTATGGTTAGGGGGGTCTTTAACAAACTCTGAAAGGTGTAAGGGAAACATTTGTAAAAAAATGGAAACATTGCTAAAATGGTCTGGCCACCATTTAAAAATGGAGCGCATCGGACTGGCAGCGAAAGGGTTAAAGTGTAACTAAAAACAAAACGTTTTCATTTTGGATAGAGTAAATAGGGGGGGGGGGTTTTTTAGAACTTTTTTTCCCCATTTGTGTCCCTTTGGATAGACTTGCGTACTATTAGTGTTTGATGTCAACCCAAAATATGGGAATTTATTTCCTATAACTTTCAATGATGAAATGGCATCACCCCTACAGTAGACGTGTCATTACACGAAACGCATCTAGGAGGAGCCCTTGTACGCCTTGATGTCACGCCGCCAGATCAGGAGGTCCAGCGGGCCACCCTATGGTTCTACTGGTCAGTGTATTCAGGAGCTTATTATTACCCACAGTCACCCTGTGCGTTTATGCTCAAGTTGTTACTTCACCAATTTTTTGTTTAATAAACCTTTGAAATACTACACTATGAGCACTTTTATCTTTACCATTTGGCACTGAGCTTCCACACCTCAGCCCAGTATTCCAGGTACCTGTCCAGGCTGGAGAAGCAAGAGTGTTAGACCAGACCATTATCCCCGCCACCTGCCACCTGAGCGACCACCAGAGGATACTGTCATTACCAGGCTATACTCTCATAGGACCCTCCGGCTACATGAGATCTCTATATGCGCATTAAGATTGCGCTTCTGGTGAGTGGGCAATCTTTCTATACCTTCACATCGGGATACTGGAATGCACTCGTTTTGATTGAAGTCGTATTCATTACTCTGGACTATCTACCATTCACTTTATTGGACTTTGTTACACAAGATTCATATCCGTTTATATTATACACTATTAGCATAAGACTCTATTTAGTTTTATTTATGTATATATTATATACTGTATCTATTTATTTCCTGTAGCGCTGCACTTCCTATTTTCATTTTGCATTTACAGAAAGGCTCTGTGGTTCCTTTTAGTGCAATAGATGCTCACACTGTGCGCTTGCTAGCCCACACACAAACAACTTTCAATGATAAGGAAAGGAAGACTTTTGAACTCATTATTTAACAGTTTGATGACTCCCTCTGTGACTGTCATCCCAAACCGCTCCCCCCAGTCTTTGCTTTTCCTCTGTCTTATCTCTAGTCTAATCCTAGTTTTATAAACATTGCTGTGTACATTTATTCGTGTGTGATTTTTTTCCCTAAGAGATTATTTCTGTTAACTTTCTGCTAAAAATTTGTGGAGCAGTACTGATTTTGACCTTGTAGAAGGGGACGTACCTCGAAAGCATGTCCTAAAAATGGGAGCACTAGCACTCAACAGCTGATTGAAGAATCGGTTCGGGGTCAGGACACCGCTTGATCCCTGGACAGGTAAGTGCCCTAAATATTAAAAGTCAGCAGATACAGTATTTGTAGCTGCTGACTTTCAACTTTTTTTTGGGGAGGTGGCGGGGTCCAGGGCTCCGATTTAACCTGCACATTGTGGCTGATACAATAAAATAATGTACATTAAAACCAAGTAATACAAGTCAAAAGCAATCACATAAATACCATCAAAAACAGAAATGAAAACTCACATTAAATCAAGGAACAATGAATAAAGTACAAATGTAAAAATATATTAAAATGCCCACCAAGGATATGAGAGATGTATATGTGACTGTAAACCTGACTAGTAAATACAAGAAAACAACCAATATACAGTACCTACACAATTCTTTGAGTTACTGATGAGTCGTCTCCAGGGGAGGACTGACAACTCATGGGGCCCCGGGGTAATAGGGGATCATGGGGCCCCTGTGTCCTTGCCCACACCCAAAAAAGCCTATGAAAAAGCCAATGAAAGGTACCAGGGGCATCTCATGGGGCCCCCTACTGACCCTGGGCCCTCAGGTAGTGCCCGAGTGCTCTAATGGTCAGTCCACCCCTGGTCGTCTCATGAGTTACTGATGAAGCAGATATACCGGGTTCATATTCAGACAGGCGGATTTTTAATGCAGGAGAGACATGCTTTGTCTCTTCTGCATTAAAGCTACCTACCTGCCTGTCCACTCCTTTACAGTGAGCCACGCAGGCATAGCTCACTGTACAAATTCGGCAATGCCAAATCTGATGGAACTCCAGCGTCATCCCCACCAGGCCAATGACAGCTTCCAGTGTTGGGGACCCAGAAGCCAGTGGCCAGGCAGGGAGCTCCAGGACAGCACATCATGGGATTTGAGATGAGTATACAGTAGTTCTGCTTTAATATTGACTCCTAGAGATGCGCATGCATAGGAGTGACGTCATCCCCACCAGGCCAATGACAGCTTCCGGTGTTGGGGACCCAGAAGCCGCCACCCTAAGATATCAGTGGCCAGGCAGGGAGCTCCAGGACAGCAAATCGTGGGATTTGAGATGAGTATACAGTAGTTCTGCTTTAATATTGACTCCTAGAGATGTGCACCATGAACAAGAAATGTGTTTTGTTTCGGATTCATTTGTTACGTCAATCATTTCATTTTTTCATATTTGTTAGAATGATTTCTGTTCTGTTTGTTTAGCGTATTCTGATTTGTTTTGTATATTTGTTGTCGTTATTTGCTCTAAATCTATTTGTATTTTCTGAAGTTATTTCGGAAGATTCTGATTAATTCCTTATGTTATTTAGGCGACTTGCTTGCGAATTCGATGCGACTTGGTTGCGACGTTGATGTTTCGACCTTGGCATTGATCAGACTTAACAATACAGAGTGTGACACATATTATTGAGCTTACAAAGCCCTCTGATCTCGCGAATGAAACAAATGAATATGAATTGATTGATTGTTTTCATTATAATTTATTTCAGGTTCATTAAAATTCATTACTATTGTGATTCGGAGATTCTGAGAGATCTGAATAACTAAATTTTTGTCAGAATTTTGATTCGTAACAAAACAAATCGCACATGTCTATTGACTCCTGTGCTTGTAAATCCACCTAAAATCTCTACAACAAACACAGAGGTACATCCGATGGAAAATTGGTCCAATATTTTTGCAGCTGTACTGGTGTAAATTGTATATGATTATTATTTTTGATGTTTGTTTACAATTATACTTGCTGTGGAGGACACTTGCTTTTTTAATTTGAGAGATTTTATTTGTGCTTAAATTGTTGATCTCCAAATGTTCAAAAACTTGAATTAAAAAGATTGAAATTTAAATAATTAATTTTAATCTGAAATGTATTTTGCTTGATTTGCTTTTTACATATCATTATATGATTGCTACAAAAACAATATAAATTAATGAATCCATTCTGAATTCCATGGATAGTTTGATTTACATTTCTTTAGGGATTTATTTGTGATTTTTAATGATGTCTTCATCCCAAGAGTATTACAAGACAAACAGACTGTATTATAAATTGTTCATATTGTAGGTTCATGTAAATGTAAATTGTATATGATTATTTTATTTTTGATGTTTGTTTACAACTATACTTGCTGTGGATGACACTTGCTTTTTTAATTTGAGAGATTTTATTTGTGCTTAAATTGTTGATCTCCAAATGTTCAAAAACTTGAATTAAAAAGATTGAAATGTAAATAATTAATTTTAATCTGAAATGTATTTTGCTTGATTTGCTTTTTACATATCATTATATGATTGCTACAAAAACAATATAAATTAATGGATCCATTCTGAATTCCATGGATAGTTTGACTTTACATTTCTTCAGGGATTTATTTGTGATTTTTAATGATCTCTTCATCCCAAGAGTATTACAGGACAAACAGACTGTATTATAAATTGTTTGCATTGTAGGTTCATGCATCTTACCTGAAGGTCTGACATTTGAGTTTCACCAGATCCATCAGAACTGTAAAATATGTTGTTTTTTTCCAACAAGACCAAATATTTACAAGTGCAATATTGAACTAAAAGTCACACAGCAAACTTTTTGACTTGAGAATAGGCAAACACCAATTTGGTACTGGAATATTAGTATCAATTTTCTTTTTTTTCTACGCTCAGTTTCAGATTACATTTAAATATTCTTACAAATTCCAGCCAAGAAATATCAAGATAAAAATGACTAGATTGTTTTTCTACCCTCAAACAGTTTCAGATTACATTCGCATATTTTTAAAAATTCCAGCAAAGAAATTTCAAGGTAAAAATGACTAGACCATTAAAAGATAAAGGAACAACCCAGATTTTGCTGCAATATTAAGTTTCCATTCAGAGATTTCTTTCCCAGTACTATTTTTTCTGTCACTAGATGTCCTCAATATGATGGTCAGCATCATTAAACTGGCTTCCTCTGATCCCAGGTCTTCCCAGACTCTTCCTGTGGTTTGATCATGAAAGAAAAATTAACACATTGATGAGCTGAACTTTTTTCTCTCTCTGATTTTGCCTCCTGTCATCATGCTTCTTGTAAGTGCATAAACTGATTGGCAATTTGTACTTCTCTTTCCTTCCTCTCACTCTCCAAATCTGCTGTACAGGGGTTGCAAGAGGTTGATACCAGGTAGAAGTCAGCTACATAAACTGCTTGAATTTAAAACATGTGTCTAATGATGTATTAATGACCACAGAGCTGCATTAATTTGTTTATTTTATAAATACCTAGAGCCCAGCTTTAACAAATATAAACAAAGACCGAGCATGACTGATGTTAACTATTTGTGTTTATATCAAGAAATTATTATAAAATACAACAACAATAATAATAATAATAATAATAATGATATTATTATTATTATTATTATTATTGTTGTTGTTATTATTGTTATTATTATTTTTTTTTAAATAATAACCAACTCCAGCTAATTTTTTCTAGTTTTAGTTTTGGAAATAGAGGGGGAGCCTTAGAACCTATATCAGGACTGAACTGCTGTCATGTACCAATGAAGAAGATTCTTCAGTCACATGGAATATTGAAGCACCGCACCGCTGCAAAGAGGTCCAGATACAACTTTATTCCATTAAAGTCAGGGGTGTAATTGGAGACGTAGCCAACATGTTTTGGGGGTCTAAATGCCCCCTTCATCAGGGCTAGAAAGAACATAAGAAGATTTTCATGTTGATCTGACATCAATATAATGGGGTCATACATAAAACCAAACAGTTCAATCGTAATGTGAGTATCATGAAAATGAGAACATGAGTACTGAACAAAAATGAGAATATGGGTGCTGAAAAACAAACCAAAAATAAATAATAATAATAATAATCATCATCATCATCACTACTACTATTAACCACTTGCCTACCGGGCACATATACCCCCTTCATGCCCAAGCCAATTTTCAGCTTTCAGCGATGTCGCACTTTGAATGACAATTGCGCGGTCATGCAGCATTGTACCCATATGACATTTTTTTATCATTTTTTCACACAAATGGAGCTTACTTTTGGTGGTATTTAATCACCGCAGGATGTTTTATTTTTTCTGCTATAAAAAAAAAGAGCAAACATTTTGCAAAAAATACGTTTTTTTTTGTTTCTATTATAAAATTTTGCAAACAGGTAATTTTTCTTCTTCACTGATGTGCATTGATGAGGCTGCACTGATAGGCAGCACTGATGGGCACTGATGAAGTAGCACGGATAGGCAGCACTGATGGGCACTGATAGGAGGTTCTGATATGTGGCATTGATAGGCAGCACTGATGGGCACTGATGAGGTGGCACAGATAGGCAGCACTGATGGGCACTGATGAGGTGGCATGGGTAGGCAGCACTGATGGGCACTGATAGGAGGTTCTGATATGTGGCATTTATAGGCGGCACTGATGAGATGGCACTAATGATTCTGCACTGATAGGCGGCACCGATGGGCACAGGTGGGTGGCACTGCTGGGTGGCACTGATGGGCACAGGTGGGTGGCACTGCAGGGCATATGCGGGTGGCACATATGAGTACAGGTGGGCGGCACTGATGGGTACAAGTGGGCGGCACTGGTGGGCACTGATCATCAACCGACAATTGCCGGTTCTCGGCAATACTTTCCTTAAGCTGTGACAGCATGAGAAAAGTGCAGCCGATAACCGACAACTGCATTTACTGGTAATCTGCTGTGTCCATAGGACATGGCTATCACTGGCAGTGCCGATTGTTAACAATTCTGATTGTTATTTGTAATGTCATTGTGGATCTTCTTTTAGAAAACTTTTTTTTGGGGGACTGGAACTCCTCTTTAAAGTAGTGCAGTGCTGAATAGCAAACAAAATGCCCTGGCCATGAGGGGGGTAAAACCTTCTGGTGGTCAAGTGGTTAAAAAATACAGTGTTTACAGGATTCATTGTGAAAAACTAAATAGTGGACAAAAATCATGAGCAATCAATAGGTGATATTGGCAAATTAGACTTTTTTTTTAACATCAACTGTTTATTTCCAGGAAATGACAAATGATAACCATACTTTCGTAACTGAATTTATACTTTTGGGATTTGAAGATCTCCACCATGTTCAAATTCTGTTTATATTTCTTCTCTTACTACTTATATATGTGGTCACAGTGACTGGAAACCTTCTCATTGTTGCATTAGTAGCAATGACTTACCAACTTTGGTCCCCCATGTACATTTTTCTCTCCCACCTCTCAATGTGTGACATCTTGATTATCACAAATGTGGCCCCAAAAACTCTTCAAGTCCTTGTTACAGAGAAATGCAGCCTATCATTTCTATCATGTTACACACAGATGTATTTTTATGGAGTCTTTGCCACTACAGAATGTTGCCTGTTGTCTGTAATGTCTTATGATAGATATTTGGCTGTATGTGACCCTCTGCACTACTCATCTACCATGAAACGTGGTCTTCCTCAGTTCTTGACTACCGTATGCTGGTTGGTTGGGTTTTTTTGGGCCTCGGTCACAGAGATTTTCATACTTCTATTGGACTTTTGTGGTCCAAATATATAGACCACTTTTTCTGTGAGCTTAATCGTATTCTAGAGCTTTCCTGCTCTGACACCAAAATGGTTGACATTTGTGTCACTATCGGAGTCTCTATAATTGGAATTTTTCAAGTAGCCTTTGTCATTGTCACTTATATTTGTATCTTCATATCCATCCTTCAAATATCTTCCATCACTGGGCGCCAGAAGATCTTTTCAACCTGTAGCTCTCATTTGGCTGTAGTTTCCACTTATTATGGGACACTCATTGCACTTTACGTGTCACAATCTAGAAGGCAATTTCAAACACTGAGCAAAGTCTTATCTCTTTTAAACACAGTCATCACTCCACTATTCAATCCAATTATTTACAGCCTGCGGAATAAAGAAATAAGACTTGCCTTGATCAAAACTATTTCAAAGAGTAACTCTTGAAAGGAAAATTAATAAAAGTACGAGGGGCGTTGAAGTCAAACTAGGGCTTTTGAGTTTATATACAGTAATAAAAGAATTGGTAGGAAGAGTAGAAGATTCCATTATTAGCTGAGGGTAGGATAGGCTTCCCTGAAGAGATAGGTTTTCAGAGATCGCCTAAAAGGGAGCAGAGTAGGCGATAGTCTTCTCCAGGGTGTCACCCATCCTCTGGAACTCACTGCTCCAACCCATCAGATTATCACCTACTCTCCTCTCCTTTAGGCGCACCCTGAAAACCCATCTCTTCCTGGAAGCCTACCCCACCCCCTGCTAACCTGCCGACCTCCTCCACTTTTCCTACCACTCCATCCCCCACAGCTTTCTCCTCCTGTGCCACCATCCCCTCCCTCCTAGATTGTAAGCTTGAAAGAGCAGGGCCCTCGATCCCCTCATGTTTTGCATGGTATTGGTATTGTTCTGTCACATGTTCTGTCCCCCTTTGTAATGTACAGCGCTGAGCGAACCATTGGCGCTTTATAAATACTGTATTATAATAATAATAGTCTGATAAATTGGGGTAGAGAGTTCCAGAGGATGGGGGAAGCTCTGGGGAAGTCCTGGAGAGGAGCATGGGAAGAGCAGACAAGGAAGCTAGAGAGCAGGAGGTCATGCAAGGAGTGTAGAGTACGGTTTGGGTGATATTTGGAGACAAGATTGGTGATGTAATTTGGGGCAGAGTTATATATGGCTTTATATGTTATTGTTAATATTTTGAATTTTATCCGTTGGGCAATGGGAAGCCACTTATCTCATCGTTTACCTAATGCCTGGAAAGCTTCAGCATAGAAAGATTTGTCAGTACACCTGAACCAATCGAGGACAGCCGGCTTCACTTCATCGTCATTATTTTTACCATTCCCACAGAAAGATCCATCTCTTGTGCAATTACATGACAGGCTATGCGACGATTATCAAGAATATGGTGTTTCACGTGCTGAATGTTTACAAGACTGACTGCTGCAGGCCGGGAACCACCATGGCTGGGGATTGTCACTGATGGATGTACGGCCATCTTTAAAATGTTTACACCATTCAAATGTCTTACTGAGGCTGAGCGTCTCATCATCGTACTGTGCTTGAAGTCTTCTGTAGATATCGACGGGTTTTTACACCTCGGATCACAAGAAACTTCATCACCGCACGCTGTTCCATGCACGCACCAACATTGTTGTCTGCCATCTTGATTAACGGTCTCTGAACTGGCCTAGGACATGTGCACTGCCTATCAGTAATAGGACACACTTTCCCCTTACTACTGCCTGTAGTACTTCCACGCTAGCATCCTGTCAGGAATGGACTTGTGGGCTGCAGTACCAGGGCTGGCCAGTGGGTGCTCTCAGCAATCAGAGACTCAACCCTGCAGTCAGCCAAACACCTGAAAGCTGATTGCAGGTGTATTTAAGGGATGGCCAGACCTGCAGTCTGTGCCTTGGTGTGTGTTTTTCCATGGGCCCCTGTATCTTGTTACCTGCATTCCTGTTCCTGTTCCTGTTCCTGCCTGACTGACGTGTTGCTGACCCTGCCTGATCCTGACCTCTGCTGACTTCTCCTGTTTGATCCCTGGCTTGTGACCCTGACCATTCTCTCCGCCTGCTCCTCCTGTACCTACCTGCCCGATTGTTATTGACTCAGCCTGCCTGACTACGTTGTGCTCTATATGTGTATGTACCTGTGTATCTGTATCAGTTTAGGTTTGGGTTTGTTTCACCTTGTTGTATGTATTTGTGTTAGCTTGGGGTTTGGTGCACTGCGTTTATGTTTGTATTGTTAGTCTTAATAAATCGCCTTATTTATACCATATCTGAAGCCTGCGTTTCCCTGTGTCAGTCCACACACCTCTGGTCATACCCGGAGCCCTGACACATCCCTTTTTATACCTGTAAAATTAAAAGTCAGACTTGAACATTTCTCATTTATCTGAAGCCTAGACCTTTTTTTTTTATTTGTTTTGGATGGGGAATATTTTAAACCCATCAGTTGTTTTTTTTTGTGCCTTATTGAAGAAAGTTTACTCCCTAGCATGTAAACCCATGAAGACCCAATAAGTAGTGATCACCTTTTGGACAGCTGTCACTGAAACAGCCATGCCTTTTGGAAAATTTCCCCCCTACTCGCCTCAGCCAGCAACACAGATTTTGGATTTTCCATCACTTCCAGTCCTAGTGACAAAAGTCAACGGGACAAAAGGGGAAGCAAAAACCTTCAAGAGAAAAAGCAGACAGCATTAAAAAATCATCAGAAACCCATCAGATGTTCTCACCATTCTCTGCTCTATACAAAAAAAAAGTTTTGGCTTTAGATACACTTTGAAGAAACAGAAATGATGAGGTAGCAATAGAACAGCAAGATAAAATGATGTATGATGGTATACTGTATAGTAGTTATAAAATTACCTATTGTACTTAACCCCCCTGGTGGTATTCCTGAGTGTAGCTCGGGGTAAAGTTTCAGCACCACAAGCGGTAACCCCGAGTTACACTCGGGAATACACTGCAGCGTTGTTCAGGGATACCAGTCTCACTTACCTTTTCCTGCAGTCCCGCGATGTCCCCCCTGCAGCGTCCCCGGCCATCTCCTTCGATCGATGCCGGCATCTGTCTTCTGGGTTCCGTTCCCTGCAAGCGTCGGGACGTATGGGGGGACAGAACCGGTGGGAAATTCAAAAATGTAAATATGTGACATTCACTCAATACCAGGGGCGGACTGACCATTGGAGCACTTGGGCACTGCTCGAGGGCCAAGGCCCAGGGTCCTGATCACCATTATACACCATACCAGCATCCTGATCGCCGCCATACACCATAGCAGCATCCTGATCACCGCCATACACCATACCAGGGTCCTGATCACCACCATACCCCATACCAGCAACCTGATCACCACCATACACCATACCAACATCATGATCACCACCATACCCTATACCAGCATTCTAATCACCACAATACCAGCATCCTGATCACCATTATACACCATACCAGCATCCTGATCGCCGCCATACACCATAGCAGCATCCTGATCACCAACATACACCATACCAGGGTCCTGACCACAGCCATACACCATAGCAGCATCCTGATCGCCGCCATACACCATAGCAGCATCCTGATCACCACCATACACCATACCAGGGTCCTGACCACAGCCATACACCATAGAAGCATCCTGATCACCGCCATACACCATACCAGGGTCCTGATCACCACCATACCCCCCACCAGCAACCTGATCACCACCATACACCATACCAACATCATGATCACCACCATACCCTATACCAGCATTTTAATCACCACAATACCAGCATCCTGATCACAACCATACAACATACCAGTGTGATATACCCCTAGAAAGCCCTAAGGTGGTCCTTGGATTTTGAACCTCTTTGTGTGGCTAGGCTGTTAAAAAGTCTCACACATGTAGTATCTCCACACTTGGGAGGAGTATCAGAATGTGTTTTGGGGTATATTTCTAAGTATCTCCATGCAATGTGTTAGAAATTGACAACTTTGTGTGAACAAAATACATTTTAATTTCCTTTTTGCATGTTCCAAAAGTTTGTGGCAAAAAAAATACATTTTCAAAAGACTCACTATGCCTTTCAGAAAATATCTTGGGGTGTTTGATTCCAAAATGGGGTCGTTATGTGAGTGTTTCCATTGTCCAGGACCTGCAAAATTATGATAGGTAGTCATAAAATTAGATGTGTAACTTATGTCCTTGGAATGCCTGAAGGTGTTTTTTTTGGAATTTGGCCCCTCTATCAGCTAGGCTGTGAAAAATCTCCCCAAAATGGATCCCCACTCACTACTTAGGAGGCATAGCAGAATGTGTTTTAGGGTGTATTTTTACGTATGTCCATGATGTGTGTGAGAAATTACTTGTTAAACTGGCAACTTTGTGAAAAAATAAATGTATTTAATTTCTTAATTTTCTAAAACATTGTAACTAAAAAGTACAATTAAAAAAACTCACAATGCCTCTTATTAAATACCTTATTTGATTGTGGGTATACTCAAAAAATGCTACATCCCTATTTATAAATAGAATAAACAATTCTTTCCCTTTTTCATTGGATTTTCAGGGCATATACATCACAAGAAGTAGAATAGATGTATGTTTTGCTAAAGGATCATCATACTTTTATTAGCATACAAAAATTAAAAAGAGGAAAACACATATACTACTTACAAATGAACCTATAATGACATAGCTGTCTACATATATTTGTATGGTTCGTGTGGCTTTATATACCCTTCACCCGATGTGTTTCAGAGACTTGTAATTCTTTCTTTAGGGGTATTAAGGGTATTATAAT